GGTTTGTAGTCTTCAAAACTGACGATGACCTCAAGATACACCAGGTGACAGAGCATACCAACTTTGGGGGTACCCTTTGCTATACCAACGCTCGCTATGCTCCTTCTCAGTGATGTCTCGTGCTGAGAAGAGGGCCAATCTACGGCTAGACTTTGGTACCAGTGGTGGAAGATCCCGTAAGCCTGGTCAGCGAGATGACAACTCGAACCCTGAAACCACTGAAAACTACAAGGTACTGCTACTATTACTCCTCTTTCCTGATGGACCTGTGGTTGGTCAGGTTAAATTCTGCAAGGCTCCAAGAGAATTCTATAATGGTCCTGACGAGAGCACTGCCTTGGGCCAGGAGTATGCTGCTCTTAATGCTGTTACTTCTGATGAAGAAGACGATCAGAATGAGGCATCTGACCCTAATAGGATCAAGACCCGGTATCCCCCTAGGAGGGATGGCCATAGGTAATGGTGCTGATCCTACCACGAGGTATACCACCACTGTTGTTGTGATGATAAGGTATGATCCTAAGTGGCATGGGGATATCCCTGAGCCCTACTCACCCAAGCCTCGGACTGCCTCTATTATCGAGGCTGATACATCCTCTCCTCATGCCATTACCTCTGATGTAGGGAGGTAACGCCTGATAGTGGGCATTCATCTGTCAGAGGGAGGAAGAGGTAGCAGTAGCACCTCTGAGAGCTGATGAGGAGGAGGATGACCTCATGGAACGAGGGAGAAGGGTTCTGACTCTTGAGGTGATGGGTATGCGTGGATGACCGCATCATAGTGGTTCTCTACAGGCGGCACGGATAGTGGATACAGACCCAGAGGGGTTGGGACGTGTTGGTGGTGTTCTCTTCAAGAATAAGAATACAGAGTTGATGAAGGTATGCAGGGAAGCTCTTGGTAGGTCAATGATAGTAGATAGCATGTACAGAGTGCTGATCAGGTGATACCAACTTACGCGATCTCAAGGATGCAGCGATGGAGATGCGGAATGAACGGACTGATGAGGCCTTGGACTACTTCGTGGAGACAGCTGCTGAGGTATCCATCGATCGCT